AGCACCACAGGCTGCAGAGAGCCAGTGTCTCTTGGGAGGAAAAACAGAGCTATAATTTAGGAACCTGCACAAAAGTGAGTGCCTGACCCTTAACAGCACCTGCAGTGGTGAATACAGGCAGGTATCAGAATGAAAGCCACATTTCTCTGTGCTTTCATGTGCTAAAATGCTGAGGACATTGCATTTTATGTTCCTTACTTAAAACTTACCTGGGAATATTCTCCTCATTTACAATAGTAGGTGAGCCAAACAGCTTTTTCAGTTTTTTAGGTTTCAGAACACCAGGGAACTTCTGTATGCCCACAAGCAAAAGATGCAAGTTCTCTGGAGATTTGAAGGCTGAAGTGAGGTCAGCTTGCAAGACGCCAAACAGGACCTCTTCAAACACAGCTTCAGGAACCTAAACCAGAAAGTAGATGAGAGAGCATGCAAGAAACATCTGACAGCGTTTTACTAGCTCGCTCTGCGGTACATTCATAAAATGCCCTACAGTGCAGATATTTTAAAAACCTGTGCTGTTTTGGAAATTTTAGAAATTCTTTTCAAGATGACGCAACCAAAAATTATTTAAATAGAGAATTAGTATCCAGTATTGCCATACGGGCCCCAGGTGTTTAACCATGCGGAGAAGGACAACTTGTTGTCATTAAATAGCAGTTCTGTCCACTGACTCCAGCTGCAATTGCTCTGTTGCAGTCTGACTGCTCCTGGCAGTACTGTCATGAAGCACGTGGGAGGACAAAACACCCTTCTATTAGCTTTCAATTGCATTACTTAAAAAAAGAGCTACCTATTTCAATGGGATTTACTGGTAAACAACTGCATTCAATGTTTTCGAGGAAACTGGACCTAATGTTTTCATCAATAACATAGAAAAAGTATAAAAATTGCTTTCATTTGTATTTATTAACAGATAAGACTCAAAATATATTAAAACTTAACATCAAGATTAGATGACCAGGAATATTTCCATATAAAGCATTACTTAATTGTGATTTAATGCTGTTAGTCTTCATGACTACCAATAATATCCATGCAAACCAAGAAAATAAACAAATACTTTCTCTTTTTACTACCTGTACAGACCTCCTGTACCCCCTGTTCGTACACCCCTTCCACTCCCAACCACCCAAAATTCAGCCTTGGGCGCAAGTAACGAATTAGAAACTGGGTGCCCAAACGAGCAGCTTTCTTGTCCAGAGTTTTCAGCACATTTGTCTCCAAGAGAGCAGAGGGTCTAATGCGCCACCCAAACAAGTCAACTGGGAAAACTAAGAATAACGGTTTGTCCATGATGAAAGCAGACTCAGCTAAACTAGAGCATCTTTTGCAGAATAAAGGCATCTGCCCACAGATAAATACAGAAAATAGCTGCTGCACTCTTCCATAACCCCTCCTCTTACTTTCAACTATGAACAAACCAATGAAAAAGCAGTCCCCTAAACAAAGTCCTACTTCCCACCCAACACACACTGTGTCTATACCTCAGAAAGGATGTCAACAAGAGTTTTTCCAGGGAGATCTCTGAGGTGTGCTTGGTGATGTGCCAACTGTTGGAGAAGCTGGATGCTCTCCAGCAGAGCTTTCTGGTCCTGGGAAATCAAAAAATAGAGAATATATATCTAAGGGTAAGCTGAAGGCTCAGGTAATAATACACTCTGAGACCCACATGTCTACTTACAATAAGAAGCCTACACTATCACTTCTTGATATACAACTCAGTTCTTCCCAATACGGTGTTTTCTGACCGCATGTGACAAAAGATCCCTCCCTTCCAGGCGAGGTAGGGACTATCTGACACAGTTCTTACATTTCTGGTAATCAGTTAATCCATCCACCTAGTCTCCCCAAGCTTTTCTATTTTCTAGAAAGCAGATTTTCTATTATTTCACCCATGCAAGTTTTCTTAACCATCCTTTTCCTTCTTTTCTTCCCATCTTTGACTTCCAGCTGATAATACCACAGTTTTCTACTAAGAAGCTTGAGTTGTTGGTGACCAACTGTTAACTTCTGGATTCATATGACCCCTTTTACATGAGCATCAAAGCATCTCACAACTGATTCTTGCCACACTCTTCCAAGTAACACCCCTGCTATGAATCAGGAACAGACATTTAAAAGGCACAAAAAGCCTATGGAAAAGGCAAAAAGAAGTGAACTGGACTTGATGCTCCAAAGTCCCATCTCATGCAGTAGCCAATGGGCCAGCCTTTCTCTCTAGATCCTCTCTGCATTTCAAGACAACTCCAGAACCATTACTGACAAATACCATAACCATACTAACGTTACCTTAACAAGCCGGCCTGATTGAAACAGAGCCATAACTCCAAAAAAGTTTCCAAAAGCAGCATTTCTCACAAGTTTCTGGAAAAAGGAAAAAAATTAAGAGTAGCAATCCACCCCACTGCTGGGTTAGATCTCACATTCACCTACAGTTCCTACTACTAGGACAAACTGGCTGGAAGATCTGGTCTTGAATGTCCTTCCATATGAAGATAACACAACCAAGAACACCCCCCTGCGCGATGTTTAAGAACCAGTGTCTTAAGACAGTCAGGCAAATCTCAGCTAAGACAGGGCTAGATGACAGTGTCATCAACCTCCAGTTTTTACAAATATTTCAAGTCCTGTTACAGTCGTTTGTCTTAGGAAGAACTCCAAAAGCTACAGTATCCCGAGGTCAAACCTTCAAAGAGCAGAGAACAGTTAATCTAACCTAGTTGTTGGCCGATGCTGCTATGAGCCCACTCACCTTTTTCACTTTTCCCAGATTGTGTTTTTCTTTTATCTGTTCCAGCACACCGCACACCGGAATCTCCTCAAAAGCCTGCAAAACCTGGGGAGACGGGCGAGACAGCACAGTTTGCAGTCCTTACGTCCTGCGACGCTTTACGCGATTCAGCCAAAGCCGAGCCGACCAGAACACGAGATGCGCTGCTTTACGAGGCCAGAATAGAGCGCACCCACATCAGGAAAACGCGTGTCACGGTAAGAACTGGTCAGACATAAAGACACTGTTTAAGAAGCCCTAACAGGACTTTCGGGCGCGCTCCCGAGCTCGCGGAAACACTGACCTGCGCCAGGGCCAGGCTGAAGCCCGGCC